TCCATTTATAATTAATAGAATTTGCTAGGAATTTAATAATACACTCGACAAATAATAATTTTAAAAATTTCTTATTTCTTGGGTAGAATAGTTTGTTGGTGGGTTGTGTGAAGGACCTGTCTAGTTGGGCCGGCGGGCCTGCTGCAGTGTTCCCTTTCTTATGGGTCGCACGTCAGGTGTTTCATTGTTGTGGGATCTGATAGTGAGGTGTTGGCTAGACCCCTTATATACCTTCCTTTGATGCTTTACTTTCATAGTTCCTTGATAATGTGAGCAGTCACGAAAGCGCTTGGAATTTCTCTATTCTTTTCCAGTGGTTGTTTTGCTTATTCTGAAATCACTGTTTACTGTGATCTCATTGTATATATATATAATATTATATATATAATATATATATATATATATATATATATATATATATATATATATATATATATATATATATATATATATATATCTATATATCTTCTTTCTTTCAACACACCGGCCGTATCCCACCGAGGCAGGGTGGCCCAAAAGGAAAAACGAAATTTTCTCCTTTCAAATTTACTAATATATGCCGGAGAAGGGGTTACTTGCCCCTTGCTACCGGCATTTTAGTCGCCTCTTACGACACGCATGGCTTACGGAGGAAGAATTCTGTTCCACTTCCCCATGGAGATAACAGGAAACAAGAACAAGAACTAGAAAGAAAATAGCAGAAAACCCAGAGGAGTGTGTATATATATGCTTGTACATGTATGTGTAGTGTGACCTAAGTGTAAGTAGAAGTAGCAAGACGTACCTGAAATCTTGCATGTTTATGAGACAGAAAAAAGACACCAGCAATCCTACCATCATGTAAAACAATTACAGGTTTCCGTTTTACACTCACTTGGCAGGACAGTAGTACCTCCTTGGCCGGTTACTGTCTACCAACCTATTACCTATATATATATGTATATATACATATATATATATATATATATATATATAATATATATATATATATATATATATATATATATATATATATATATATATATGCAAGACAAACCACCGGGGTGGAAATCGTACTTTCACACTTCTCAGTGCGTCATCAGGAGCTATGCAATGTTGCAAGAGCAGCAACTAAGGAAATGAGGATAAGTTTTCTCAGAGTAGCGCAGCATAGGGTTACACCAGCTCAAGCGTCTCTCAGAGTGTGAGAGGCACCTGTCCACTTACTGCCTACTTAATTACTATATTAATGTTTTTATATTATATTGATCATGTTGTCATCAGTAAGTGCAACCACTTACCCTTGTATACAGTAGCAGCTAAATGGGTTATAAACTATGCCATCATTACCCACGGACATAGCATGATGTTCGGTGTGCAGATACTAGTCGAACACCACCAGAGCATCACGAAACCCCATGGTATAATGAGCAATCCTGTGATTTTATATAACATTGTTGTTTAAAGTTGTGCACAATAGACTCCATTAAATAACTATCGAGCGTGTACAACCCATGATTTGAGTTATATCTGGAGGGAGGAGTTTATCTGGAGTTTATCTGGAGTTTATCTGGAGGGAGTTCCGGGGGTCAACGCCCCCGCGGCCCGGTCTGTGACCAGGCCTCCTTAGGTCAGTGTCCCAGGATGCGACCCACACCAGTCGACTAACACCCAGGTACCCATTTTACTGATGGGGAACATAGACAACAGGTGGAAAGAAACACGTCCAATGTTTCTACTCTGGCTGGGAATCGAACCCAGGCCCTCACCGTGTGAAGCGAGAGCGTTAACCACCAGGCCACCAGAGCCTGGTATTCCTATCATGTTTCAAAAGAAAGAATTCAATTATATTTCTTTCCATAACAGAACTGTTGGGTACAATGATCTGGGTAGCAGCCCACCCCTGTGGGTGATTACAAGAACTGACATGGTTAAAGATAACATTCGACTCTTGGCTCGTCGTGATTGAGTACTGGTGTTGAACTAATCTGGTTTTCAGAGGTTTATCTGGTTGAGCAGTATATGAGAGTGGGCACAGAGTGCATGGGACCTTGTAAACACCACCAACATTGACAGACAGTATGTTTTTAATCAAACTCTGTTTCACTGTCCCAGTGTTTTTGAAAGCAAGGTTTATATTGATCTTTTTAGTCTCATGCAGGCAGACCAAGTTCTCATTGTACGGTAAAACCAATACATTTTTGCAGGCAGACACTTCCTTAGGTTCAATCCTGTAGAAAGCTTACTAGCTGACAACGCTGCCTTCTCAACAAAATCAGTAAAATATCTCAGTTTTGTGGTTATGTTAAATATCTTACTGATTTCATCTTCTAAATACTCCAGAATGCAGATACGCAAGGCTCTTAGGAATATTGTAAGAAAAACACTCCTTTTAACCCTACATTCATGACTGGAGTACTAATGAATGTATTACGACCCATCCCATATGGGGTGGGTCAGGGAAGGTGGTTGGGTGGGTGGCAAGTGGACTGGTGCTTCTCACACTCAGAGAAACGTTTGAGCTGGTGTCACCCCACGCTGCGCTACTCTGAGAAAACTTTCCCTTATTTCTTCAGTTCCTACTCTTGCAACTTTGTAAAGCTCCTGATGACACACTGAGAAGTGTAAAAATACTTGAGTTAAAGATTTCCACCCCCCTGGCTTGTCTTGGTTCAGAATGATTTTTTCGAAATTATTGTATACAAAAATTTTCGCTTGCCTTATTCGACAAGAAAAACGTTGCTATTTAAGCCGAAATCGCAAGTTTTACCCATTTGGAACGACACATACACACGCAATTAGGTGTGTACTCATCTAATTGTGGTTGCAGGGGTCGAGACTCAGCTCCTGGCCCCGCCTCCTCACCGAGTACTACTAGGTCCTCTCTCTCCCTGCTCCATGAGCTTTATCATACCTCATCTTATAGCTATGTATAGTTCCTGCCTTCACTACCTCACTTGCTAGGCTATTCCACTTCCTGACTACTCTATGACTGAAGAAATACTTCCTAACATCCCTTTGACTCATCTGGGTCTTCAAATTCCAATTGTGACCCCTTGTTTCTGTGTCCCATCTCTGGAACATCCTGTCTCTGTCCACCTTGTCTATTCCACATACAAAATACTGCGTGGAATAGAGAAGCTGGACAGAGACAGGATGTTCCAGAGATGGGACACAGAAACAAGGGGTCACAATTGGAAGTTGAAGACCCAGATGAGTCAAGGGGATGTTAGGAAGTATTTCTTCAGTCATAGAGTAGTCAGGAAGTGGAATAGCCTAGCAAGTGAGGTAGTGGAGGCAGGAACCATACATAGCTTTAAGATGAGGTATGATAAAGGTCATGGAGCAGGGAGAGAGAGGACCAAGTAGTACTCAGGGAAGAGGAGGGGCCAAGAGCTGAGTCTCGACCCCTGCAACCACAATTAGGTGAGTACACACACAGACACACACACACACACACACACACACACACACACACACACACACACACACACACACACACACACACACACACACACACACACACACACACACACACACACATGTAAGACAAGAGAGAGAGGGGTGGGTGGATTGCATATTCTTGGACTGCAAGAAGGCGTTTGACACAGTTACACACAAGAGATTGGTGCAAAAACTGGAGGACCAAGCAGGGATAACAGGGAAGGCACTACAATGGATCAGGAAATACTTGTCAGGAAGACAGCAGCGAGTCATGGTACGTGGCGAGGTGTCAGAGTGGGCACCTGTGACCAGCGGGGTCCCACAGGGGTCACTCCTAGGACCAGTGCTGTTTCTGGTATTTGTGAACGACATGACGGAAGGAATAGACTCTGAGAATTCACTCGATCGAAGACCAGGCAGAACTACAAAGGGATCTGGACAGGCTGCAGACCTGGTCCAGCAATTGGCTCCTGGAGTTCAATCCCACCAAGTGCAAAGTCATGAAGATTGGGGAAGGGCAAAGAAGACCACAGACGGAGTACAGTCTAGGGGGCCAGAGACTACAAACCTCACTCAAGGAAAAAGATCTTGGGGTGAGTATAACACCAGGCACATCTCCTGAAGCGCACATCAACCAAATAACTGCTGCAGCATATGGGCGCCTAGCAAACCTCAGAACAGCATTCCGACATCTTAATAATTAATCGTTCATGACCCTGTACACCGTGTACGTTAGGCCCATATTGGAGTATGCGGCTCCAGTTTGGAACCCACACCTAGCCAAGCACGTAAAGAAACTAGAGAAAGTGCAAAGGTTTGCAACAAGACTAGTCCCAGAGCTAAGAGGTATGTCCTACGAGGAGAGGTTAAGGGAAATCAACCTGACGACACTGGAGGACAGGAGAGATAGGGGGACATGATAACGACATACAAAATACTGAGAGGAATTGACAAGGTGGACAAAGACAGGATGTTCCAGAGATTGGACACAGTAACAAGGGGACACAGTTGGAAGATGAAGACACAGATGAATCACAGGGATGTTAGGAAGTATTTCTTCAGCCACAGAGTAGTCAGTAAGTGGAATAGTTTGGGAAGCGATGTAGTGGAGGCAGGATCCATACATAGCTTTAAGCAGAGGTATGATAAAGCTCACGGTTCAGGGAGAGTGACCTAGTAGCGATCAGTGAAGAGGCGGGGCCAGGAGCTCGGACTCGACCCCCGCAACCTCAACTAGGTGAGTACACACACACACACACACACACACACACACACACACACACACACACACACACATATATATATATATATATATATATATATATATATATGGTGTATCTTGGTTATATATAAGACTGGTAAGTGTTGGGTCCAAGTGAATCACAGTCGACGATAGTGAAGAAAAATTACTCGTTTCTGAACAAACTTTCATGAAGACAACATTTTATTTTGTACCGAATTTTATAATTTTCTTGACATGATCAAGGTCTTCAGAGAACGAAATGTTGCGCCCAGTAAAAGCTTATTCTTTATGAGTAACGTTATTAATTTCTTTTCCTTTCTTTTTATTGTTCTAGGGAGCCCTAGGAACCAACCCAATATCCGTAGCAGCACCTGCTGAAGGCGACGATAGTTTTGTACTCGATATGTCAACCAGTGTCGTTGCATATGGTAAGGTAAGAATATACATTAGTTTAAACTATGAACATATGTTAATACCAAGATAACAGAGAATGTTTTGACTAATATGTATTGTAAATATACTTCAGTATTTGTATGCTAGTAACGTAAGATGATCACCTTATAAATGTGTAAGATTTTTTGTAAACTGTGATATGCTAGCTTAACCATTAAATAGGGTTTTAATGCAAGGAAAATAAATCATTTGTTTAGGATTAAGAGAAAATACCACCGATGATACTCTAAGATAGGAATTAAAGCAACCTTTCAGCATGTGCTTTTAACATTCTATGGGGAGGAAGCATGGACACATGGGTCATCCCACAACTGCTAAAAACAACAGACATAGCCCCACTCCACAAAGGTGGCAGTAAAGCAATAGCAAAGAACTACAGACCGATAGCACTAACATCCCATATCATAAAAATCTTTGAAAGAGTCCTAAGAAGAAAGATCGCCACTCATCTAGTTACCCATCAGTTACACAACCCAGGGCAACACGGGTTTAGAGCAGGTTCCTCCTGCCTGTCCCAACTACTGGACCACTATGACAAGGTCCTGGATGCTCTAGAAGACAAACAAAACGCAGATGTATTATACACAGACTTTGTGAAAGCCTTTGACAAGTGTGACCATGATGTAATAGCGCACAAAATGAGTGATAAAGGAATAACAGGAGAAAATGGTAGATGAATCTATAATTTCCTAACAAATAGAACACAAAAACTAGTAGTAAACAGAGTAAAGTCTGAGGCGGCTGCTATGAAAAGCTCTGTTCCACAAGATACAGTAATCGCCCGCATCCTGTTCCTCCTTATCATATTTGACATAGACAGGGATGTAAGTCACAGCACCGTGTCTTCCTTTGCAGATGACACCCGAATTTGCATGGCAGTGTCCTCCAATGAAGACACTGCAAGACTCCAGACGGACATCAACGAAATCTTTAAATGGGCCTCAGAAAACAATATGAATCTCAATGAAGAGAAATTTCAATTACTTCGATGTGAATACGTGAGGAAATTAAAACTATATCGGAGCATAAAATAAATTACAACCACACAATAGAGCGAAAAACTAATGTAAAGGACCTGAGAGTGACAGTGTCGGAGGATCTCACTTTCAAAGACCACAATATTGTATCAATCGCATCTCCTAGAGAAATGACAGGATGGATAATGAGAACCTTCAAAACTAGGGGTGCCAAGCCCATGATGACACTTTTCAGGTCGCTTGTTCTATCTAGGCTGGAATATTGCTGCACTCTAACAGTGTCTTTCAAGGCAGGTGAAATTACTGACTTAGAAAATGTACAGAGAAGCTTCACGCCACACGTAAGTGTGATAAAACACCCAAGTTACTGGGAATGGTTAAAGTTCCTTGACCTGCACTCCCTGGAATGCAGGCGGGAGAGATACATTATTATATACACTTGGAAAATCCTAGAGGGATTAATACCAAATCTGCACACGAAAATCACTCCCTATGAAAGCAAAATACTTGGCAGGCGATGCAACATCCTCCCAATGAAAAGCAGGGGTGCCACTAGCACGATAAGAAACAACAAAATAAGTGTCAGGGGTCCAAGACTGTTCAACTGCCTCCCAGCATACATAAGGGAGATTACCAATAGACCCCTGGCTGTCTTCAAGAAGGCACTGGACAGGTACCTAAAGTCAGTACCTGATCAGCCGGGCTGTGGTTCGTACGTCGGTTTATGTGCAGCCAACAGTAACAGCCTGGTTGATCAGGCCCTGATCCACCATGAGGCCTAGCCACAGACCGGCCCGTGGGGGCGTTGACCCCCGAAACCCTCTCCAGGTATACATTGAAATACATACACCTCTCGGTATCTGTAACCTTTTCTATCATGTATTGGTTTCACGAGGCCCATTGAGACTTCATTTCACTTGTATACCATCAGTTGTGGATACTTTAATCCAGAAAAGAGAAATCAAAGTAAACTTTGAGTTTATATACACAGAGAGATTTACTTTCCTGGTGCATACAGTCCTTGCCATATGCTTTACTTTCTCTCGAAGAAATCCAACAAGACAGGACTCACTCCCTTAAAACTTACCCAAAGTGGTCAGGCCACTTAACCTTTCTCACCTCTCTCTTCCTGACTACCCACAACCCTTTTACATTGCTCTATCCTACCCAGCCCTCTCCTCTCTATTCTTGCAATCCCTCTTATGGCTTAGTTAAAAAAAGAGCTTCTGTGAGGTAATCTACACACATACTGCTATGTATGATAATATATGTGACTATATTTATGTGTACCTGAACCTGAATAGTTTTATACATTTATATTAACACATTTAATACATCCACACTGAACTGTTAATCTAACTTACAGTATAAGACATTTTAAGGGAACAGAGTAGAACTAATTAAATTTATTAAATACATAGGATGGTTTTTCCCTGTCACACTCAATCACACAGTATTGGTTTTGATAATGAGGTAATACGTCAGCGTGAGCTGACGTATTACCTCATTATCAGTGGGCGAAACGTTTCGAAATAAAGATACCTAACTTTTGCATATGTGTCTTACCTAACAACCTGTCGGTATTTTATACCATTTCAATATTCAAACCTTAAATGACTCGGCCCGGAATTTGCAGTTTTCCATCCCTTGGCAAATCTGATTCGACGAACAAGACACATGTGCAACACTGATACGTTTGAGTATTACAACACATCGAAACATTAATACAAAGAATGGTGCAAACATTACAGAACAGTGCAGGTGAAAACAACTGCTAAGAAGGAAATGACACCATCTAAAATACATTAAAAGGACATTGTAATCATATAGATCATTATTCACGAAATTTAATGACAGGATTGCAAACAAACCATGGTACGGGTGGGATCCGAACCCATGGCGAGTGTTACGCTTATTTTTGACTGAGTAATTTAAATAAAAAGTCCTGGTTCCTAAAGGGTAAATCCTGGTATGTCTAAAGGCATGTATATTATTTAACATTGAAAAAGAAACCACTCAAGGGCCAGCTTGCACCTTCACATTAAATGTGGAAAGTTAATCAATATTATTTATAAGGAAGGACACAAAAACTCAACTATACAAAAATATAATATATTAACAGTAACGTATATACAACCTACAATCTACTCTGTTAAATTAGACACATGTGCAACTCTTGGGTATTTTTACTGAGGAAACGTTTCGCCACACAGTGGCTTCATCAGTCCAATCAAAGGAGAAACTTGAAGAACAGGAGAATGAGGTAATCAGTCCCTCGACCTTGAGTCGATGTGGTCAGTCCATCAGTCTTGAATAGAATACGGCATATGAGCGGAAAAGCAGCTTATAAACCGTAGGCAGGAGAGGTGCAGCAGTCGTAGGTGGTGTCACATTTGTCCAATGTGGAAGTAGGTCGTGCCCAAGGGTTAGGCAAGCGATGAATTCCCAAGTATTAAGATCCCAAGAAGCTGCAGTGTCTGACAGGATTGTAGATGAATGGTGACACCACCTACGACTGCTGCACCTCTCCTGCCTACGGTTTATAAGCTGCTTTTCCGCTCATATGCCGTATTCTATTCAAGACTGATGGACTGACCACATCGACTCAAGGTCGAGGGACTGATTACCTCATTCTCCTGTTCTTCAAGTTTCTCCTTTGATTGGACTGATGAAGCCACTGTGTGGCGAAACGTTTCCTCAGTAAAAATACCCAAGAGTTGCACATGTGTCTAATTTAACAACGTGTCGGTTCTCTGAACCATTCATCTACAATCTACTCTACTACAACCAACATCACCACACTCCAGTTCACCTTTACTCAGTACTCACACTAGCTCACTAGCACACTGCTGCTAGTGAGTAAAAATATATAAACATTTATAAACAGGGAGGCTCCATGACACCTCCCATCCTTTCTACCGGTCTGTCTACCAGCAGGCAAAAAACATCATGCGATTACTCTCCCAAAACTTAACAGGCCTCTGCACACTAGGACCTTACAGGTAAATATGGAGAGCAGTTAAACCCATAAACTAACCTATTGCATAAACTTACAAAAAGAAAGAAAGAAAAAACCATCCCTTCAAAACAAATTGTGAAGTATTAGGACATCTTGATGCAGGTGCTGCACTCCATAAAGTGACACTCACCACCTCACTCTCCTCTTTCCTGGTCACTCTGCCTGACCAGGAATAATATGCGTCGGTTTCAGAACAATCCCGGAACTATAGAGCATTTTTTATACAAGATTTTACTGCGGCACACTGCATAATAGCGAGTGAGACATAAACCTCCACCCGTACCGTAGTTTACATAGGTAATATGTTCTTAAGCCAACTTGTTTTCGGGTAGGTCAAGGTAATGTTGGACCTCATGTAACCCCTTGTACAGCATGAGTGATGCAGGTAATGTATTTTTTAAACAAGATAATGACTATTACAATAGCTAGCGGAAAAAACTTATAAATGTACAAAAGCTTTTGTGAAAAATTATTATTATTATTATTTATTATTACTAGCAAATCACCTGCAGGAGGTTTACAGGACTTTACCTGAATTATTACCTGCAAGTAATTTGGTTGAGGTAAGTGAGACTTAAGTCACAGTAGGTCATTGAATTGCAATTACTTTGACTGCCCATTTCAACATTTCTTCTTTTTATTACCACTTACCATTCATTTGCTGGAAGACACTTAATGCTGATGGAAAACACCCTAACCTAACTCCTGGCAGCAAAAACTAGTGTACTTATCTAAGGTGTATTGTTGGGAAGGATTCATTGAAGTCCTCAATTTTCGTCCTCCAAACGCAGTTCTTGTGGTCCCACAAATTTCATGTCCCAATTCTTCAGCAGGAACGTGTCAGCAATTTCTAAATTATGAATTGAGGGCGATACATCCCATTTAGGCCTCGTAAAACGCCGAATTACATTGCACCACCCAAGGACCAGCGTTCACATTAAATTCTACATGGCGTCTCTCCTGGCTCTCAGCAGCTGATCCCCCAAACTCGAAATTTCTTGAAAGGGGCAAATCAGCATAATATTTTATTACACAATTATTATATTATTTATTTATATGTTCGACATTTAGGAAATTATGTAAAAAACTTCCACAGCTTTTGAAAAATGGCATTAATCAAACAAGAAAAAAATAGTGAGGCGAAAACATTAGTAATGATAATAATAATAATAATAATAATAATAATAATAATAATAATAATAATAATAATAGTAATCTATATTTCTACAAGTACATGTACATGTACAGCTTATACAGTCCTAGCTGACATCAGTGACATACTACTATATAGAAAGTTCCTGGTTATGCAGAGCACTTCTGGCAAATTAGATCACTTTTGTCCCAGGATGCGACTCACACCCGTTGACTAACACCCAGGTACCCATTTTGCTGATAGGTGAACAGGGACAGCAGGTGTTTTAAGGAAACACGTCCTAATGTTTCCATCTGTACCAGTGATCGAACAACGGACCTCAATGTGTAAGCTGAGTGCGCTTGCATTTATTATTATTATTACTATTTCCATTGTTTTTATAATGAAAACAAGTTCTAAACTAGTATGGGTCATATAAAGAGAAAAGAACGGCAATAAATATATATAACTGTTAAATACTAAAAATGAAAAATATTATAGCTGCAGCACAAAAATCAGCACATTTAATCACTAAACTTTTTCTTACAAAGGTGGAGGTTGCACATACGAAGAACGAAGCCATCCCAGAAGGCTGGGCTGTCGACAAACACGGCTGCATGACGACCAGCTCAGCAGAGTGCTTAGACGGAGGCTTCATCATGCCTCTGGGCGGACCGGAGTTGCACTCTGGCTACAAGGGCTTTGGCCTTTCCATGATGGTCGAAATATTCTGCGGAATTATGTCAGGTAAATATACTCCAATCGATCCGGTTTTTTTCATTTCACATTAGGGTTAGTTTTTATATAACCAACTAAATTCCCTTTGGGGCCGCACGTAGTATTTTTTTCCCCCCTTCCATAATTTCTCATTGAAATCAGCAACTTAGATCATAAAGACAATAATCATACTTTTCAAACACTAATTAAGAGAATAAGAATACATACTGATGCAAGGAAAAATCAAAAAAAACCGTGATGTTATAAATAAATATACTACAGTGAAAAAAAAAAAAAACACCCGAGAACTTTTGTGCTTACACACATCGGAAGATATGTCTTAAGAAATAAAAACGCGCTGTGCTTTTTTTTCCTTCTTTTTTCTCGAAGTTGTTACAGACAATTTGTTGTAAACAGACAAACGAACACAGAATTTTCATTGAAACGATTTTCACCGTATAACTTTTTTTATGCCCCCTAAATTTTCCTTCATATGTCACTCGCAGGATGAAGGCCTTTCACTTACAAAAACCTTAACTTTTCTTCTTTTAAAAAAAACAATAAAAAAAACTCACTGATCAAGGCAAAAAAAAAAAAAGTACGGGAAAAAATGTAACGTGGGGGAAAAAATTTTTAAAACAGAAAAAAACTTTTTATAAGAATCTCAAAACATAAAGTATATTCATACTGAGAAAGGGAGAAAATTTTCACTGAAAAAAAAATCAAAAAAGCTTTAAGTCTTCAAACTATGTCTTTGCTACTGTCCCCCCAGTGTTCATATCTTTTTAAAAAAATAAAAATCATATCGTCGACTTTGTAGACTGCTGAACAGAAATAGTTTGTCTCATTTAAGTAACCCAGTAACAAAAAATTTTTCCTAAAAATCCATTAATGAAATTTATTTATATATATTATTTATATAATTTTAATAATAAAAAATATAAATTATATATATATATATATATATATATATATTTTAATTATATTTATATATAATTTATTATATATATAAAATATATTTTTGGGTGTGTGTTGTTTGTGTGTGGGTGTGGGGTTTTTGGGTTTTGTGTGTGTGTGTGGTGTGTGTGTCTTTAGCAAGACAACCATGGGGGGGGAAGTCTTAAGTTAAAGTATTTTCCACTTCTCAGTATCATCAGGAGCTGTGCAGTGTTGCGGGGCAGAAACAGAAAAAAAAGGGTGAGTTTTTCAGATATGGAAGTGCGGAAGGCACAAACCCTATCCTACTGAATGGGGAAGGGGGGCCTAGCCCTCCCACCCCCCACTGGTCCCCCACACAGCACCCCCATAGGGGGGTGGGGTGGGGTAGACCCCACAGATTGCAGATGCATGAGGAAAAAAAAAAAAACTAGGAGATAGTTTAAGCCAGCCCTAAGCTTCAAACCCGCTGAGAAAAGGTATGTGATGTAAGAAGTTAAATTACAAGTGGATCACCACATACGAATGTAGCTATTTTGTACCACCTTTAATTTAAAAAAAAAAAAAAAAAAAAAAAAAAAAAAAAAAAAAAAAAAAAAAAAACTTCAGTGAGCAGTGCCGCGTGCCTCGTTGTGCCCCGGGGTTTTCTGTTTTTTTTCACTGTTCTCTTACTGTTTTAAAACTTTAAATTGTGTCATCAACCCTATACGATCACCCCTCTGCGCCTAAAACAATTTTGGGCCGAAAACATTATATACTGAGTCAAAAAATGAAATTATGTGCATACCTAGGGGTTTTACTCCAGAGGGGTTTTTAAGGCCTGTGTTCCGTGTGAAAAAATAATAATAATAGAACTTTTCTTTGTCAAGAAAAGAAAGTCTCCCTAAACTTTGAGTTACATATGTAAGTGTATACTACAGTGGCCCCTAGTTATGATATAAAAGTAAAGTGTCATTTGAAACGGGTGAATTTTTTAAATGAAGGATAACCCTATAAGGCAGGTGCCAGAAGTCGCCAAATCTTACCCAGGGTCATTTTTTTAATAATTCCGCCTGCTAGTGACTCGCATATAACTGTTTTTCCAGTGAAAGCAAAAACGTGTTGTAGTAGCAACAACCATATTTAATGGTACTTGGGAGTGGATGACTTTTTTAGTTTCTTTTTTTTTGAAATACCGACGTATACTGTGAATTTCATATAACCTGTATTTCCCAGGGGTCGCAATATAACAACGAAAGCAATTATTATACAAAAAAAGCGCCCTCCCCCCAAAAATTTCCATCAGTCAACTATAGTGATAATAACATTTTTTGTGGTGGAGACGAAAAAAAACTAAAAAAGCTAAAACAAGGGGGGGCCGACCGTTCGTCACTGTAGAGCTCCCGAAATAAACCACTCTTAAACACGCAATTTTATATTTTTGTATCAAAAAAAACACTATTACTCGGGTGAAAATTTAAAGTAACCCTTTTCTTTTGGTTAGCCCAAATCACCACAGTATTTTTTTAAAATAAGTAACCCACTGACAATAATCGAGCCCCGAACCCTCGATGGCCAACCCCTTATGGCAACCCCTTGATGGTTTTCAAAGGATTCGTTGGAAAATAAAGAACTGTAAAGGGATGGGGTTTGTAGGCGCCCTTATCAAACACAAAAAAAAATTAAAATCGGGAAAAGAAACCGTAAGCGTCCAATTAGTTAAAATAAAAATTACAAATAGCAGGCTTCATTAAGGGGTTTTTAAAATGAGTATTCAAGGGGGTGCTAGTAAATTTTACAGTAAACAACCACTCAAATCATTATAAACTTGTGTATCTGCGTCAATCAAACAAACGGGCTTCCACATGGATAAATTGTATTTTTGTGGAAATTGGGTACGCCCCTTTCAGATATCCCGAACAGCTCAATAGTATTAAAAAAGGGAAGGTTTTTGGGGATGCCAATAGGAAAATCTGTGGACTAAAATCACAAGGGTATTAAAAGAGGATAACATCAAAGCTGCTTTCATAACAACCCGGAACTTTCTACAAAAAAGGAACATAAAAAGTCTGGCCTGAAGGGACGCCCTTGCCCGGGCCATGTAGTAGAAAATTAAAGGTGGAGGTGTGTCCCGGAGTCATAAATGTGGGGGGTGATTTGTGCGTCCCGGGAGACATAATGGTGAACGGGGGTGCGTCCGGGAACCGTAAATTTTAAGTGGAGGGGCTGCCCGGGGACAGAAAAGGAAGCTGGAGTGCTGTCCCGGGAGACGTAATGGGGGAATGGAGGTGCTGTCCGGGGACAGTAATGGTGAAGCTGGAGTGTGGGCGGGAGCAGTAAGGTGAAGCAGAGGGGCTTCCGGGGCAGTAATGGGGGAAGTGGAGATTTTGTCCCGGAGTCGGGAATTTTCGCGGGAAAAATCATAAAAAGACCCAAAAGGGGCAGGAGCCCTATGGGGAAAAAAATGTAGTCAAAGATAAGAAAAACCCAAAATTTTCAAACTAGAAATACCAAAGGAAATAGCAAAAAAAAGGGGCTCCACAGATATGAGGTAATTACCAAAAACAATGGTGGGACTCCATTGTTAGTTTAGGAGGATAGGAAAAAACAAGGGGAAAAATCACCAAAGGGGAAAACATCCAGGGAAAAAGGAAAACCCAAACCCGTGCCATATATGCACTTGACTGCCGACAAGGAAAAACTGGAAAAAAAAACGGAGGCAACTTTTACCCCCCAGAAAATGCCTTCCCCTATGACAACAGGAAAATGCAAACCCCTTTTCCCGAAGCTTTTTACCCCGAAATTGTACTCTTCAGTAAGGAAAAACGGCTATACTTAAATTGCCGGCACACCAACTAAAGGGGACAAAAAGATACAAAAATCCCGGGCCCTGGGAAAACCCCGGGGAGCCACAGCCACTAAGGGGAGAGGTTTTTTTTTTTGCCAGGAAGGAAAAAAAATGGCAGGAATGGCAGAAATCGTACACCAAAATTCATCATTTCCGGAGTGGAACCCCAGTCGAGGCCTCCACTCCAAACCCAAAAGATACAATACTAAGCCGGAAAAAAATCCCCCCCCAGTAACAACAATACCACCAACCAATAACATTTTTTTCTTTGCAAAAAACAGGGGCTAAAGCCCGCAAAAAACAACAAAATCCCTTTTTCCCTACTGCTTGCAGGGCAAAGGCAATGTTCGCGGCTTTCCTGAACCCACATAAAGGACCTTGGGGCAACGAAAAATGGATCCCCGGGTTAAAAACCTTTTAAATGTGACGAGTGAACAAGCAAAAAAGGGGGGGGGGGTTTGCCTGTACTTGCAACACTTTTTGACAGAATGTAAAGCCTCAAAAGATGTAGTGGAAGTTTACATTAAAGGGCGAGAACCAAAACCTGTCTTGTGGGAGTTCAAGCCTCCGGTGCAAAAATCCCAGCAAATTTCCCGGGAAAACTGTTAAAAATTGACCACTGTCTGGAAATCTTTCCCGCTCCTGCACCCAACATTTCCCCCTGGGGGATTTCAACTTAAGGCCCCTAAATGGGGAATATAGCAAATAAAATTTTTGCAAAAAACACCAGTAGGCAGCTCTGATAAAACTCACACTCACACGAGCTTTTAAATTCTGCACAAAATTTAATTTAAAAAAGCAAATAAAAGACCCTAATTGGAGAATCAAACCTCATCTTCACTAACAAGATGTCGAAAGAAATGCCCAACAAAAAAAAAATATACTCAGTACAAAAAAAATTGAGTTTAGAATTATGCGTGGACCCCCGCAGACTAAAAATAGCACGAGGGGGCATTCCCAAATTCAATCAATAAAAAAAACATAAAGTGCGACCCCAAATAAAAACCAAGTCCCAACCGAATAAGCGGGAAGATATACTAAGCAACACAGACCCCAAAGTATGCCTAAACAGATTAACTTGGTGCCCCCGAGTATGCCAAGGGTTTTTCCTCTAAAAAAAAGGGAGTAGATTAAAAAGAAAGGAAAGCCTCCCTTTACAGGGGAGGAAAAAAAATAAAAAGCAAAAGAGGTCAATATTTTGAAAAAGGGAGGGGGACCTGCAAGAAAAAGCAAGCATCAAATCAAATAAAGGGGAACTTAAGGAGTC